CCCGTCAGTGGTTCTTACGTTTATAAGTACTGGCGGGAAATTTCACTCACGGCTGTACTTATAAACGCCAGTACTTATAAACGTAAGAACCACTGACGGGCCGTGAGGTAGGGGTAAACTTTTGAATGGGAAGGATTTGTGCAACGCCACTTGGCAGAAAGGTGGTCCAGAATGTTTGCCGGAGCATGGGCTACTTTAAATTTGGCAGCACAGCCTTTATTGTTATTTTGCAGACGATTTTCGTGTCGACTGTGAGCTGTGCCGCCATTGGGGGGGCTAAGCAGAAGGACGGGGGCAAAGCAGAATTGCGCCGGGGGCGTAGAGGAACGACGGGGGCGAAGCAGATTTTTGCGGGGCGAAGCAGAACGGGGCGGGGGCGAAGCAGAACGGCGGGGCGAAGAGGAAGGAGTTTCATGGGGGTGCTAAATGTCAATGATACGAGGCACTGCCTTAGAAATGGAAGTGCACCATCCCGTCTTGCGTAGTTTAACTCATTGTCGAGACTGGCGGATGAAGAATGAAATAGAGAGAGAAAATATGCACAAAGCCACCAACATGTGTCATTATCGAATCCGTTCTTAATGGATTTGATCATTATTTAGTTGATTGAACTAATCATGAGGAATGTTATAGAAGGTTACAATGGAGACCAACTCAAATTCTAGTGCATTTTTTGTATAAGTTTTCAAATTGCACAGGTGTAAAGAAAATAGTGGAACTAATTTGAATTATATAGATTCATTCTGCAAGAAGGCAAAGTTGCCACAACGCTTGGTTTTGTCTTATTGTCTAACGAGATACAATTTTATTGACTGACTTTTGACATTCATACCTTTATTATAACTATGTTAAAAACATAATATGGGCAACAAATAACTCATTTGTATCGTGCTCTACAAGTACTAATATATGTGTACCCAAGATTGTTACCAAGAATAAAAACAGTGTGTGGTTAAATGCCTTTGTCATTATTCTGTCTGTAGTCTACATTATAATATCTATTATTGCAAGTTCGTGCAACATAAGACACATCCTTCCCCCAAATCTATTAGTCGATTTTGTATCATTCGACCTCACAATTTGAGGACGAATAATCACTGTGTCGTTGTAAAGCTGGGGGGGGGTGAATTCTTTTGAATGACTCCGCAATCGGTACAACCATAAACTTTAAAGTCTGAGGTAAACAAACATGCCGTCACAGTCTATTCCCGCAATCCAAAACATGTTTCCAGTCACAAACAGCCATATTCCTGATTGCATAGCACTTTTTAGTATTTTTAGTAAAAAAACACCATTAGTCTCGGCTTTTTCTTTATTTCTGAACAACATGGGAGTCTTCACGTTGTTTGACGTCTAATGTAGCATATGGTCTGTATACAGGCCCCATATATAAATATGCTAGTAGTTGAAGCGCGGCTCAAAACGTCAAATTTTGCAACTCTATTGCGTTGAAATGTTTGCTTGTTAGGCCATGTTGATTTGATTATATGGATGACATCCTCCGGGAACCACAAAATTGATGCGCGCGTGCGAATAAAAAAAAAGTTTTGCAAAAAACAAAGTTGTTTTCATTATGAAATTTACTCGGTCATGAGGGTTGATAAAATGGGACAGAATATGGTTTGGCGAATAATCTAGTCTTCAAGTTCATTTCTTAACAATTTCGTCTTTTTTCGTTTGATTTTGGCATTCTACTACATTGGTATGGTTTTTTTGTAACTTACGGTATATTTTTGCTCATTTTGCAACTGTTTTGTACGATTTACAGTATGGTTGAAAACTTTTTTTGTTTGAAACGGCCAAAAATTCATGCGCGCGCGGATGTCATCCATATAATCAAATCAACATGGCCTTAGTCTGTATGACGCAAACTAACTCTGTCCAGAGCTTGAACAGCACCTCCCCTTAGTCAAAGATGGGCGTAAAGCTATAAACAAGGTTTAGAGAGAGACTCTTTGTAAACTTAACGGTATCCTGGCTCTGAATGGGAAATGTTTGTAATATGTAGCCCCGTCCAGAATGTGTTACAAACAGGACTGACGGAGCTGCTCAGGGCAATCTCATTTTTGTAGATATATATATACGAGTGAAACTGGCTACTTGAAAACATACACCGTGCACTGCATGTTACATTAGCGACACCCATACTTCTCTCACGGGATTTCAGGTGTTGTTACTCCACGGCGTATTGTGATATTTAAAACCCGACCTATCGGTCACTTTCTCAACTGAAACTCCTATTGGCTGCTGTCTTTACGGATAAATAGAACGTCATGACTCTTTTAAAAGGAGCATATTTGATCTTCAACAACCCCGGAACGCAAATATGCCAGGGAACTGCAGACTCATTCTTAGATATTATCGTGATTCGAAGGGAGCGACTAAAGACCGTCTCTGAAGATACAGGTAAGAACTTTAACATATTAAGCTAGCAGCAAATTTCAGACATGGAACTAGAGTTCGGAGGACTCATGCCTTCGACAGTGTGATATTGTTTTGTAACCGCGGAAGATTGCTGGATCTCCCGCGGTATTCTTTCGGGAGGCCTGTCGTGTCCCGCGTAGCGAAAAAACTCGGTGCGAGACCCCGAAGTCTACCGCGGCTCCGAACGCCGATGGCGGCGTGCCAAATGTTTATTTTTACGTCCTGCCGGGCGAGCTGTGCCGGGCCGATGGAGTCTGACACCAGTCAACTTTGCTACAGTTTTTATTTAATGGTGGTGAAGCACAGGAATGTACGAAAATAATGTGTAGAATGTGTTTCTCACGCACTCATAGTTAAACTGCTACTTTTTTTTCAAAGCTATTGTTCAGCGCAAACTTTAAGCAACTATCGTGAATGAATACAATGTAACGTGTAGTAATCCCTTCGTCTCCGGTGAATTCGGCAAGACTCAAGTTACCAAGAAATATAAATTATGAGGCGTACCGGCAGTAGTTTGTGGTTGTTGTGTTTCATAATCTTGTAGCTGTTGAGGTCTTCTCATGGTTAGCTTGCGTCAAGAAGTCTCCGTATTAGTATTAAGAATTGCGACAATTAAAAGCTTGCCCATCAAAATCCCGGGGCGTGCTAATGTATTAATGTATTAATGTATTAATGGGTGACCCTCGGATTATGACGTGGGTATAGAAAGTAGTGCAGACAGACCTCTTGCATCCTGGCTAAAGCGACTTATGTGAGAGGTAGCCATGAATGAACTGCACTGTGTGGTAAGGAAAGGTATCGGCTTGTACACCGTATGAGTTGGATTGTGAAGATTTCCCTGTTCGTGTATAAATGCGCGGCATTATGCAACAACGTTCCAGGGTGAGCCGGCTGCAGTTCCGTCGACCCCGGTAGAGGGCCAAATCAAAGTGGTCGTCATTATGTTAAAAAACGATAGCTTTTTTTTTAGTTTTCAGTTATTTTGTAGAATATACCGTGTATTTCAACATATTAGTTGGCCGTGATTGTCTAGTGCACCCTACTATAATTTTTACCGCGTCGAAGTGAGTCACCTCGGGGTGCTTCCATAATGCTAACTGCCTGGAATTTCATACTTGGGGTTAATTGCTGGTGTCTTTTCGAAATTTAAAGTGACCAGTGTTACTACAGTAACGTACGGACCTCCCACGACGCCCATTTCCGAACTTGATCTTGCTATCGTCAACGGTAACTTGCAAAAAATCGTGAACATCCATTTGCAGATTATCTAATTATCCCGCTAACAACAATAACGACCACCACAAAAGGTAAAATTCAATGGCATGGGAACCCCCCCCCCCCATGAGGTCCATATCCGAACTTGACCTTCGTATTCTCAAAGGCGACTTGCCCACTGAAAATCATAGACAACCACTTAAGGATTCCCGAGTTATCTGGGGAACAACAAAAACGCAAACACAAAAGGTCAGCTCCAGTCACGTAAGAACCCTCCACGAAGCCCATTTCTGGCCTTCACAATGCCCATTACTAAGACAACCTGTCTGCCAAAAATCGTGAACCACGGACCATGCCTTCAAACTTTATCGTGCATAATCTGCAAAACAGTGCCTGTCGAAGGCAATGAATGTTACATGCAGTACAGCATAACATCGTTCGCAGGAGGGGGTCGTTAAGCACACATCAGAATACGTAACATATTGTCATTGGCCAAACACATTTGAAGCAATGCGCACCTCTTCAAGTTTCGTAATATACGTGTATTTTATTTCTACCATGAACAGTGAGGTTTAAGATAATTGCCACCCATGAGTGCCCACAAACTACTTACACAAACATAGTCTAGGTGTGTAGTCATGCTGAACCCATATGTATACATATGGCGGGGTCGTGTGGCGTAGCGGCAGAGTGCGCGACTCGGAACTAAGAGTCCCGGGTTCGAGTCATGCCACCGATCTTATGCCCCATGCCACCGATCTTGTGCCCCTAGGAAAGGCACTTTACACGACTTTCTCCACTTAGCTCAGGTGTAAATGAGTATTGCCCTGTCATGTATTTGTCCCGTGTTGGTGGCGGCATTAATATCAGTTGAAAAACTTGAGTGTGTCGTCACCACGTCTGGTGATCATGATTACATGTTGGAATTTAAAAAAAATGTATACATATTGGTTGTACATGTACAGTGCCTGTATGCGGGCCCTTTATATTTATTGGTTGGGAGTATTTCCCTGACGTAAACGTATCACACCACAGATTAACACCGTATCACATGCAAAAGAAACTATGCCACAGCAGCGCAGAATGATTTAAGGATTAAAGACCTGATTAAGGAAAGAAACTTATACAAAAAAAGTAATAACATAAAAAGGCCAGCAGAACAAGGGTCAGCTTATAATGGTTTGTTTAACTCCCTTTCTCTCCCAAATGCTTAGTGCTAAGGAGAGAAAGCATTTATGTACCATTTTTAAAAAGTCTTTGATATGATTTGGACAGGGATTAAACTCACGACCTACCGAATGCAATGTGACAACTCTTCTCACTTTTTTTTTACCTATTGCAATAATGACAGGAATGTTCCAGATGAGCGCCATGTCTCCGTGGTTCCTAACCGCGGTGTTTGCCGCCATGTTTGGTCCTGTGGCGGTCCAGGCGGCGGCTGACGTGACGGCCCCCGCGGGGAGAGTGGTGGGGCTGGAGCAGGACGTGGACGGCACGACGGTCAACATGTTCCTGGGGATCCCGTTCGCACAGCCACCTGTTGGAGCCCGGCGGTTCCGGCGGGCGGAGCCTCTACAGCCATGGGACGGGGTCTACAACGCAACAAGGTCAGACCAGTGTTCCTAACCTCATGATGAACAAGAATTCGGAGATCTCATACCTCCATGAAATATATGTGTTGTTTTAATGTGTTTTTATTTGTGTCATTGGTTATGGAAATAAGATCGTAATTGGCATAATCTAGTTTAATTTATGGTTTTCTAAATTCCAATGACTATTTTTTTTCGTGTAAAATTCCTCTCCTTTGTCATACTTCATTTCAATTTCTCATTAATTATGCAAATGACCTTATTAATTATGCTAGAAGGACTCGTGCCCTTACCGTCCGCACCGACCCTACCAGGGAAACGGGGGTCGGCTGGCTTAGTGGAGGGCCAGCCAAATCCGACGCCTCACCGACCTCCACCCCCCAATTCTCCCCTCTCTCCTGCCCCCCGTAAACCCTCGTGTAGTTTCCATTTTACTGCCACAATTTTACAACCATTCTCTAAATATTTTAAATGATTCCGGCGCAGACGTTTCATTGATATCAAAAGCTTTCCTTTCTCGATTTCGTTTTGTAGACGTAAAAACTAGTTTACACACTTCAGTTATTATTTCTGTGTCTTAATTTTATTCAATTAATCAATTATTTCATTTTTTTAATTTTGATGTTTAATCCAAATATGTTTTGTCATGTATCATAGGTACCTTTGTTTGGGGTTGGCCCTTAAAAAAACACCTAGGTTTCTGACATTCCCCGCATATTCTCTTATTGTTATCGTTTGATTTATTTTGCAACTTTTATTATACGTGCAAATAATAAATAAACGAACAAATAAACAAACCTCTACATTAACATAATATATGCATAGTGTTGTTAATCTTTAAGTAACTTACACATGTCACAAGGTATAAGTTCCCATTATTCACCAATGAGGAATCACAAAATTTTCACATTAATTATGCAAATTAAGTCATCATTTGCATAATTGGTATCTGTTGATGTTCCGTCTGCCACAGATTAAATAGATTACATGTATAAAAGTACTATTATATAAAACACGACACACAAACAGACGTGTAAAATCTTTTAAAAAGTTGTTTAAGATAAACACAATTTCCTTTAAACGCTTAGGAAACAAAAAGGCCGACATTCACCAAGGCCAACTGGTGCATAAACATCACACATGTTACCTTGTCACATAAAGATGTATGACCTCAACGTGTATGTAAATTTGTAGTCTTATGTGTATATTTGTACTGTGTGTGTAATGTTTAATGAGCCCTGGAAGATTAGCCCTAACGGGCTATAGGGTATCTGAACTGAACTGAAAGACAAGATGCATGGCGCCATTCAAAAAGTCAACTTAATATGAGCAAATACAAGCGGTCTAATACAGCTAATGCAATGTTATGGATTTCACTGTTGCTTCTTAACACTTAAGGAAACCGAACGCCTGCATTCAGCTCGCTACCACCCTTGGGTCGGCCGTGGTGCCGGACCTGCAGATCAACACGCCGCTGAGTGAGGACTGTCTGTACCTGAACGTGTGGCAGCCGACCCCCCTCCCCACCGCGGCGGCCGTCATGGTCTGGATCTACGGCGGCAGCTTCCAATCGTGAGTGTTCTAGTTATATTTTAACACAGGGGTGCCAAACAATTCATACGAATTTTACAGAATTCATACGAATTTTACGGAATCATACGAATTTTACGGAATCATACGAATTTTACGGAATCATACGAATTTTACGGAATTCATACGACTTTTGCGGAGTTTATACGAATTTTACGGAATTCATACCATCCATTACTAGGAAACATACGAATTTTACGAAATGCATTTGATCAATTACTAGAAACATACGGATTTTACGGAATACATACGATCTATTACGCGGAAACATACGATCCTATCCCTATGTTTCCGCGTAATGGATCGTATGTTTTTGCGTAATGAATCGTATGTATTCCGTAAAATTCGTACACATTCTTTGGCATCATTGTTGTACATTATACCCTCGTATGTATTTAGATAAATTTGTATACTTAACTTGTTTCCCTTAAAAGTCACGTGTATTTCAGGAGTCGAAAAATGTCCTCTTCCCCTCCAAAAGGACGGCCGGTCTGTGTGTAAAATGGATATTTTAAGTTAACTTTTAACGAATATTTTATATTTTGTTGTGTCAATAAAGAATCTCCTCTATAATACACCCAACAGAAAATGAATATTGGGTACTCCGGGGAGCATTCGAGACGACCTCTGTCTCTTCATTAGGGTAATGGTCAGTAATAGGCGCTTACACAGGGGGCCCTGTTTTAGTTTATCGATGGCAGACTGAAACCAAATGAAGTCTTTTTCTTGGGAACGTTTCTTGTTGTTTGGAGCTGGCCGTTATAGGAAAGGGTTGTAGTATTTTTATTTTGCTGAAAAACACTTTTAGCCATGTTTGTGCTATCTGGCTCATTAAAGACGATATAGGTTTCCATGCGGTCATCAGCTTTCGGGAGGGGGGTATGGTCTTGTCAGTGTGAAATTCAAGCATGATTTCACTGTATAAGAAATTTCTATTAATGTACGTAAAAATTGGCACTAAGGTCTAAAACTCAGGTACATGTATATGGATTTTGACCATATGTTCTGTCATAATACCGATATATTAACATAGGAAAGCAAAATACTGTGCTGTGGCCATCAACGTTATAACCCGGTAAAGATCTCGTCTTGGAGTTCTGTTCTCTTGTCTCGTGACTTAATGTTGACAGTATCAAGAAGGCTTGAGGTAGTGACGCCCCCTGTTCCTGCTCAAAGTACTGCGTTTTCTTCGGATTATGGACCCCCGCCCCTTGCAAACTAATAAGAATCTCAATATTTGTCTTGAGGGGTATGCCCTGACGTCCCCGGAAATTGCTTTTTTTGTAATGTTCAAATGGTAGGGATGGATGATAAACAGATATAAAGCGACATCAACATGTTGCCCTAATGATATGTCCATTTTTTGCAGTGGTTCGTCTGCCCTTGACCTGTACGATGGCCGGTACCTGGCAGCCACAGAGGGAGTCCTGGTGGTGAGTGTGAACTACCGGCTCAGCACGCTGGGGTTCGCCTACAGCGGGACGGACGCCGCGCCCGGAAACATGGGGCTGACGGACCAGGTACTAGCGCTGCAGTGGGTACAGGACAACATCGCGTCGTTCGGAGGCGACCCTGCAAAGGTCACTGTCTTCGGGGAGAGTGCGGGCGGGATGAGCGCCGGTTTCCTTCTGATGTCTCCAGAGAGCAGGGGTCTGTTCAATCGCGCCATCATGCAGAGTGGAACGGCTGTACTCAACCCGCTTGTCTACCCAAGACCTGCAGACGGCGCGTACGACAGCACCAAGGCGCTGGCAGGGAGTCTGGGATGTACCACTGAAGAAGGACCAGCAGCCATGATGAACTGTCTGAGAGAAAAGGACGCCGAGAGCCTTGTAGCCAGCAGTCCGCCCATCTACCCAGTTATCGATGGGACCTTTATCTCAGACAATCCGGAAAAGGCCCTTATTGATGGAGAGTTTGAACACATGGACATCCTGCTTGGGACTAACTCAGATGAGGGGATGCTGTTCTTTATACTCTTCGGACTTCCAGGCTACACTGTCGGCTCTGAAACCAGCATCACAAGAGATCAGTTCAAACAGAATGTCCGTGCCATGACGATTGGTCTTAACGATTTGGCAGTAGAGGCAGTCGCCTTCCAGTACACCGACTGGCGCCGTCCCGACGACAGCGACATGTACCGAGACGCCCTAGACACTGTCCTGACGGACTGGTCGTTTGTTTGCCCGGCCTTTAGAACGGCTCGCGCCCATACCCGAGTCGGGAGAACCGCTTACATGTACGATTTTGTCCATCGACCCTCCAACTCTCTCGCCCCAGACTGGGCGGGTACGCTTCACACTGATGAAATACAGTTTGTGTTCGGCCGGCCCCTGAATGCTGCCATGGGGTACACTGCCGAGGAGGTCGACCTGTCACGTAGGATGATGCGGTACTGGGCAAACTTCGCTAAAACTGGGTAAATACCAGACTCATTTCGATGCAATCTTATCTGTTGGCGGGTGATGCAACCCTAAGAATGGCAATTTTGCTATCTGTGTGCTCGCCGTGTTATAAAACTTCTTTAACAAAAAAAATATATAACGCAGTCCTTTGCAGTTGGTATTTATGTATTCTATCTATGTCTTTCTGCACAAATCCCGACTGTCTAGTAATACTAACATTTCATGGGACACTTGGTAACTACTACTCCACAGAAACCCCAACAACAATGGCGAGGTGGCATGGAGCCCGTACACGGAGTCCAGCCGAGGCGTCCTGATGTTGGACACGGACGCGCCCCGCATGGTGACCGGGCAGAAGGCCAGGGAGTGTGCCCTGTGGGAGAACTACGTGCCAACTCTCCTCAACAACACAGGTTTGTATAATGCCGAAAGTTTAGACTTAAATTTTCAACCCAAAAACAATTGTACCCAAATTGTACCCAAATGACCAATCCACAACTTCCGTAACGTGACAGTATTTAGTGAACATGGGTGATAATTATAAGCAACATGTTGCAGAGCTATTTCAAGCAGATCTTTTGGTGGGGGTAAGACAGTATCAAACTGGCCAGTCTTGGGTGGAAAAATGGTTACAGACTGGCCAATTTGATACTGTCTTACCCCCACTAAAAGATCTGCATGGAGATTAATTTCAACGGCAAAGGCAAAACGTCATGTTAGAAAATCTACATAGAAAGACATTTCTACATATTTCAATAGTAAGTTTAGCAAACGTAGCCATTTAATTCTTAAATGTTTATTTTGCATTTTGAAAGTTAATGTTACATATTTTTTTTTTGTTGGGGACATTAAACCGTTGAATTGGTAGAGATTCAACACATATCAGGTGCGGTCATAACATGGGCGATAGGCCACCGAGTTTTTGTTGAGATCGCTGTTGCTTTGTTTTATGAACACTCGTATACTGTGCATTTCGTACAAGCTTAAGATTCCCGATAATCATACACTGAACACAAACACTATGAACACGGTCCGTTGAAAGGATCCGAAGAGTCATGAACTCAACACATAACACCGTGAACACTGTCCGTCGAAAGATTCCCGAGAATCATACACTCATCGCATAACACCGTGAACACGGTCCGTTGAAAAATTTCCCTAGAATTCTCTGTACAATGAACCATACATATATAATACATACTGCTGGGTACTTGGTCCGCTGAATCATACAATAAAAAGCACACTCATTATTTAGCTGTTACATTGGCGTTCAGGGTAGCGCAAAGGCCGACGGGAATAGAACAGGTTTCGCAAACTCGAATGCGTTCGCAAAACCGCTGCTCGACTCGATAGAACCCCAAGCCGGGGCTAGCGCTAGCGGTGATAACTTCAAAAAGATGACAGGGTAGGAAACACCTACCCGTGAACTGCGTTACCAACTGGGGTGGCAGCAAAAATGTGACTTAGAATCACGTTCGGTGTGAAGTCCCTGCCTCCCCAGACTCAGAAAACAACGATATAGTACATTTTAGAGATATTGGGCACAACTACACTTTCCAAATCTCATGCCTGGGAAACATATCTAGAACTGAAAACATGTCGGTGGGGTTTGTGGACGTGTTTAGAGTACATTTACACATAGCATGTCAAGACTCTTGTCGGGTGATGTAGCCAGTTGTGTGCGTTTACATTTTAGAACCGCGCGGGAAATGTGGGCCTATCGTGCGTCTGATTGGCTAGCGATGATGTCATTGACCTGTACAGCAGCGACCTGGTAACGCAGTTCGCCGGAGATTGGACTTTACAAAATGCTTCATATCTTCTTTAAAATATGGTATCATACCCCCAAAAAGTTTACATGGCTACTTAGTTACCCCTTGATTATAGATAGTATCAAGACTTTTATTTTCCTTTTGGCATTTCGCAGAAAATAGGGTCTTTTGAAATGGCATTTCGCACCTAGTGTATACTAGTACTAAGTACCTAACCAAGATGAAGCGTTCGGAAGTCGCTGTTCGGCTCTCGGCAATCTTCGGGAGACTTCGGTATCTGTTCGTATGGTTCTTTGGAATCCTCATCAGTTTGTGACCGTGTTCAGTGTACGTATGATTCTAGGGAACCTTTCAACGGGCCGTGTTCACGGTGTTATGTGTTATGTGACTGTATGATTTTTGGGAATATTTCAACGGACCACTGTATTGTGATGGCAACGGGCTGAATGAGTAGACACAGTGTATGTTCTAACATGCGCGAAACAATAATAAGGATTTTATTTAATGGTTTACAAAACAATGTAACGTTACATGTATTGTTAGATCTCAACAAAAACTCGGTGGCCTAGCGCCTGTGGTCATAATCGTAAACTAACACGTATTCATACAAAGTTTCGAAGGTAATGGCAATTGTAGAAAGTTTGCTAATGCGGAATAATAAACTACTGGCTAACCTTTTCATACAAATAACAGCACAAAAACTGTGGCCCTAACTATAACCTGTACACATCGCAGTGATTTTTGTTCTACCCAATAATTATTTTATTATTTTGTGTGTGTTTTTCAGCAATGGCAGAAGAGCCCGAGCAGTGCGTGGCGGTTGCAGAATCTAGTTCGGCAGCACTTTGGGGACAAAGTCTGACGGTGGTTCTCCTCCTGAACTTCATCAAGGACATCATCAGCTTCATCACGGCGGCAATCTTCGTCGTGCTATAAGAGGAACAGACAGGTGCTTGCACTGGACCAAGCACGGCTGACGACAATACTTAATCATATAACATTTTCAACTCATTTTCCAAATGATTTGTTCATAACATGACTCTGCACATTTAGATCTAATCTTTTTCCACATCACGGTTTGTCATAGTGCATATTGTTGAAGAGATATATAGGATATCAAGAATGTGTTGTTGACGTATCAATTTTTTACCCAACCGATGCTGGTATATAATTTGTCTCATCTGATGCAGGACATAATTCATAAACATTGGTAAAACTAATATAATATTGTACAATTGATACAACTTGCTTTTTTTACCAAGACGGATAGCCGAGCAGACAAGCTCTAATTGTTTTTCGAATAGAGACGTATACAACCTGAAGACCAACCATTGTATTAATTGTAATTTCTATCGTTTTGGATAAATTTTTTGGATTTTAAGTATGAACATAATGTGTAGTAATAACAACGAAGTATTCTCATTTTACAGAAGAAAGCATTCAACAAAAATAAAGGACAATCTTTGTGTCAAAACTTCTTGAGTCCAAGCGTGCCATAACTATACAAAAACATGCATAATGTCCATTATTACCTTTGCATTGGCGATGTCTTCCTTACTTCGTACAGCACTAGACTGTTCACTGCCCAGGCACACACCCACGGTCAGGGAAACCCTCCCAGCGGGACAAACTGAGGGTTATTGGTGGGGGTAGGGTCCACCGGTCCTCAGTCCCACTGGGGAGGTAAAGGTAATTTGTTTTGTGTGCGGGCCGTCTTCATGGCCTCCCTTTGTGAGTGGAGCCACACACACCCTAAAGGGAACCCCCTCTATTCAGTCCCTAAAGGGAAAACCCCCTCTTTCGGGACATGCACAGTCCTTTTTTCAGGACATGTGCAGTCCGTACTTGAGGGGTAAACAAGGTAATTTGCTGTGTGCGGGCGAAACTTCTGAATGGCCTCCCTTTGGCCCAACAAAGAGATTTGGACCAAAAATATCATGATGATTTTAATCAATTGAACAGGCAAAACGACAGTCAATAAAAATCAATCTTGTTGGAGAAGGATGCATTGGTTGCTAAATGTTAATTTTCGTCTATAGTATAGTTCTGGAGAATTTTCTGAGGATAGCTTGACCTCCAGTGAAACTCGTTTACCATATTTGTGTATGAATATGTACCCCAAGGGTTAGGACATAGCTCACTCTTAGGGGGTGACTTTAGACAGAATTTTTATCCAGTTCACTATGACTGGTGCATGAATATGTACCCCAAGTGGAAGGGCATAGCTCCCTAGTAGGGGGTAAATTTGGACAGAAAATTTTTGTTACAGTTTTTAATAGTTTACTATGACAACGAGTGTAACTTAGGCATAGCTCACTCTCCGAGGGTATTGATAATAAGCAATCAGTTACACAGTTCTCATATTGAACGTACATGTATCCTGGAGGAAAATATAGTGAAGGGTTTTGAAAATTCCTGTATATCGCATATTTGTACGTATCATGCCTAATGGGGATAAGGCAAATTTCATTTCGAAAGATTACACTTTCAGACTTTTTCCCATGTTTTGTGTTTGCTTTGAATTTCAGGTGTATCTGCTTGTACCTGCTAAAAATACGGAAAAATTATGGTACGCATTTGTCAGGATCCGACGTCATTTCTGTACGTATACTAGGAAAACTGGAACGTACGATATGTGGAATACGACAAGGATCCCGTTTTCCGGATTTGTACGGCCAAAAAGTCTCCTGATTGCAGTTACCGATGTTTCTGGATTTCTGGTGGATACTATCCAGGGATCCGCCAATATCCGCTGTTATCTGCTAAAAATTCGGGGAAACCCCGGTACGCATCTGCCAAGGTCTCGGTTTTTCTGTACGTACTTAGAAAAAATCCGAACGTATCCTGTGTGGAACTTTAGAACAGGCAAATGGCTAAAATCGACAAGAACATTGAGGGACATTAAAAATCACTCTAAGATTGACAGGCAAATGGCTAAAATCGACACAAGAATTTGTAACGAAGAGTGGAGCAATAATGTTATCAAGGACTGAATTGTTTATCAAACATGTCATATGGGGGATGGCACTGTTCCTGTATCGATCTGTTTTACAACGCTGTAAGTTCAGTTTATTCGAAGAGCGAGTCTGGCGACTGCTGATACTCTGTCTTACGGGTGGAAGGAAGTGTCGGTACATCTGGGAAGTCAGAAGTGACTTAGCAAACTTCAGAGTCAAGTGGGATCGACGCGTGTGGAGTGTAGGCAAGTCTAGGAGAGAGCACCCCTCAGCATAGCTAGTGTAATCAATTCCAAGTATAACCCGAACAGCCCTTCGCTGGATTCTCTCGATTTTCTGACTCAGAACACTTGTCAGGCCAGAATGCCAGACTGGGGCAGCATACTCGGTGATAGGGCGAATATAGCAGGCTAGCTCTGTTACATACGTATTCGATGTATTGACATTGTAAGTCTAGTGCACAATGTAATTATGCATGACGTCTAGGCCAGATTTCATAGCCTGTTAACGTTAGACCACACCATCTGTTATGTAATAGTATGTTAACCTGACATGTAAACACAGTGCACAGTGTGATTTATAGTAAACGCATGACGACTAGGCCGGATCTCATAGTTAGACCTCAACATCTGTTATGGAATAGTATGTTAACCTGACATGTAAACACTGTGGAAAATGTAATATATAGTAAACGCATGACGACTAGGCCGGATCCCATAGCTTGTTAAAGTTAGACCTCAACATCTGTTATGTAGTAGTATGTTTATCTGAAGTGTAACCGACACTGTTAACTGTTACCTGTTCCGAATTGTTTATGTTCTTGTTGTGAGGGCTAGCCATTTATAATAGCCTCCGGCTAGTTGGGCAGTCTCGGCTGTAACATATGTCTTATACAGTGTAATAAATCGAATCAACGATACAAACGGACGAATAATGTGAGCTGGTTATGTTACATATATAGAGAAACAAGAAGCGATGCTAACTGGGTATAACAGTTATATAAATCAATGGACTTGAAATAGTATCTATCAGAAAAGTGATATATAAGATGCTAACATATGCGATAATGTACTAACACGCACTTATATACCAACAAGCGTTTTAAACTAACGAAAATGAGGAATTGCAAAAAGGGCTGCTACTATATTGGTTGAAACCAAAGTTATATATATTGTACTAATAATACCTGGCTACTTATACTATACAGGATACAACAGTTCTGAACTATACTAGCATGAAGGTTTGCTAATAGGACTGTTTGTAAGGCACTTGATACCAGCATGTGTACTAAAATAAGGTAATACAAATAGGCCTGACTGTAAGGTCCGGCTTCTGGTATTAACATCGGTAGAGTTAAGACGTGCCACTTTTTAACTATACGTACTAATGTTGGTTCTAAGGTAAAAACCTTTCCGGTGTGCCTTAGCTATCTTTGTTAAAGCACCTTCTAAAGGGTTTAAAAATCGTTTTAAATTTTAGTAAAGAGGCAGATTAGTAATATCTCTAGTATCGAGACTTGGAAAAAGATGTTGTTAAAACAGCTTCGAACGTTCATAATTTGCGCGTCTTAGTTGTTATATCCGATGACGTGGAGCTTTTCCAGAAACAAGAAGGTTTGCTAGACTACCCCGTGGACTTTCCTTGTAGTATCTTTATCAAATCCTGTTCAAAGGAGTATCCGAACATATCAAAGTCCTCTTGGAAGGTCTCTCGGAGAGGCAGGATTTCTTCTATCGGGACTTGCGCGTAGATTTTATTGAAAACGTTGTCATCGTGAACGTGCCTCCGCCGTTGTTCCGGCAGAACCTCTTCATTCGCTGTGATGTTGTACTTCTTTACAAAAAGTCGAACATCTGACGCAACCGTGTCCATGTGTGCTATAAAGTCGTAGTCAATCTACAGAAGAAATCTGAATTAGAGCTCAACGTACAAGGTAAGCTTTTCTGGGCTTTCCTTATTAACTTTATTTATCATGATTATATATGCAGCGATTGAGCTACTGCCTGCAAGGAAGCGACTCAGCGAGCGAGTGACTAATGGTGAGTGACTGGGTGAGTAAAAAAATAACAAGCGGAGGGTGTTTAACAAAGTACCTGGCATGGTAGGCAGAGCCTGCTGAATGACATCCAGTGCTCATTGTCGATTATTATCCTCTTGGATACGCTGAAGAGGAAATCTCGGAAAGACACCCGTTTTGTGACGTTGAATGTCCCTTCGTCCTTTACATTGTTCGACTAGAATATATAAAGGTAAGAGTTACCCAATAGGCTTGGCTCGGTTTCTGTGTATATCTCCAGTCCCGCCCCGCTCCAGTCACATGCAGTACAATTGCTGAATTTCAACGTTTTCACATTAACTATGCAAATTAGGTCTTAATTTACATAATATCTGTGTTTTTCTTCCTTTGCAAATACATATGAACCCTGGAAGACTAGCCAGTTTTGGCTAAAGGGTATCGTAATAAAGGAATAAAGGAATATGCCACAAGCTTAAATAATCATATCATGTAAATATAGAATACAACACGGGGTATTCCGTATCGCCCAAGGTAACGTACGGCCCGGTCCGGAACCCGTTATCGAACGTTATCGCGGCCCGGGTATGATATAATGCAGCTTATGTATAGAATTTCCTTATAAATGATAAAATTCACACCCAGATCTGCAAATTGTCACCTCGTTATGTAATGCATTACTTAAGCATACCAAAAAAACCATGACGATCCGTCAACCAGTTCTCGAGTCATCCTCTTTGGAATATTTTAAAATAAATGCTCCTGCAGTTCCAGAGCAAGCCACTAGGGGACCTAAACTTACGTCACTTCCTTCCCAGTATAAGAGCTATGTTCCCAGCTGTTGTGCTGTTTCTCGCATTTGGGTGGACGGATTCTTTTGGGACTCGACATATGTTTTGCTATTGGGCTGTAGATGATGCACGTCCTTTTGTTTTTATTGTATACTTGTTTTTGGGCGGGAAAATGGTGCCTTTTAGTGGCCCCAAAACACCCCTCTGAGCGTGGAAATGGTCGCAACCGTTGACCTTTGGTGTGTTTAAAGTATTATCGGTCGGGTCCACTTCTATGACCTTTTGCACAGAGGGGTGTACGGTCTCGATACATTCTTTGTTTAAAAATATGCACCAAAACGCTGTTTTTCAGGGCTGCGTTTCCAGATTCAGTGAAAATATGCGCAATTCGAAGAACCTTAAGTATATTTCTTTGCGGATTTATGGTGTTTTTTTTTTCTTAGATCGAACCCGGAAGTGTCAATACGGGGGCACGGTGTCTGGTAAAGTTAGCGAGTCACAAGTATGCAAACTTTTGCATACGTGCCTATATTACTACAGCGTCTTGTAAACCCTTGTATATTTGACGTACTATAAGCAGCAAGCTTCTGTATGTGAAATTTTGGACCCCAGTCACTACGTTTTCGATGGAAATATTTGTGGTTTTAACCTCTGATTTAACGGTTCTGGTTGTCATTCTGAGTTTCATTACGGTAGAGTAAATAGAATTTAATAAGTTTATGGGTACATAAGCTGCAGATGAAAATGTTGACCTGTGTTAACACAACCTGGAACGCTAAATCTAGCACATAAAATTCAACATCATCAACTATTCATAACAAACAACATATACGAAAACACAATAAAAAGCCCGGAGGTATAAGATCTCATATTTTACTTGTTTTTAGGTATTTATCAAGACTTATCCACCTACCAACTATGAAGTGAATCCATTTAAGCCTTCTCAAGTTATCGTGTTTATACACACACTCACACACGCACACACACACACACACACACACACACACACACACACACACACGCACACGAGGGGGGTGTAAAAGTGCCTTTGCTAACATTAATGTCGGATAGCGTCTGAACGGATTGCGCTAGATTTACCAAACTTGCTGACTTTTTCTAAAATAATCAATGCCATTTAGATGAGTTATTGAATTTCGTTTTGGCATGGCAACAAGGTAATGACAGGCATCTTTTCCGCAATTCAGTAATTTTCGTTTCTCCTGTGGCTATTGATGGGACTGTCCTGTCAAAAACAGAAATATTGTACTACTCAAAGGACAGTCCTGTCAAAAGTAGAGAGTATTGCACTGCTGACAGGAAGGTCCTGCCAATAACAGACAGTATTGCCTGTTATCCACCTACCAACTATGAAGTGAATCCATTTAAGCCTTCTCAAGTTATCGTGTTAATACACACACTCACACACGCACACACACACACACACACAAACGCGCGTACACACGCACACGAGGGGGGTGTAAAAGTTCTATATCTTTTATTGACAGGATCGTATAGCCACAGGCTTTCCTTGAAATATTTTTCAGCTTATGTGTTAAACGTGTTTCCTAACCTTAACAACATCTTATGTAATGTTATGTGATTTTTATGAAGCATCCATAGCTTTGATATAGAGTTCAGAAAATGAAATCTTAGGATTCCTTGCCACACGAAAATTTCATTTTCTAAACTCTATAGCCCAGCTATTGATGCTTTCTTTTCTTTTTACTTATAACTTATATACTTTTTACAGTGGTTGCAATTCTTGCACAATAAATAGTTCAGTCTTAGGGTCACAATGGTCTGCCCCATGGAGAACCCAACCTTCTTTTCTGATATGATGTGTACAAAGCTCTAAGCCATAACATTGCCAAAATCAGCAAATTCTATTTGCCTTTTGAGCGGCCATGCTTTCCTGAAACGTCCCATAAATAACTTTCAATTTTGAAATTGCAAAAAAAAAAGATCAGCTTTGAACGTCTACTACAGCTCACCACAAAAATATTTGTCATTTCGAGTGCAAATTTATATCATTTACTTTATTGGAACATGGATAACAAAATATGTTAGTAACAATAAAATGTGTGTTACTTTCTGTGAGATACAGAGGGTGAAATATGTTTTTTTGGGAGACTAATGCGTAAAAGGTGAAGATCAGCAATTTTTAAAAATGGCCGTTGACATGGCAGCCAACAACCACTGAACCAAAACTTTTCCATTTTTCTATTAGGTTTGGACCAGGATTTGATTTTTTGAGATTGACCATCTTATGCTTGATTATTAATACAGTATGTTTTTAATACAGTATTCTTACCAGATATATTTTATAAAGAGTAACTGATTTTGATGATCTAGCGCAAGACGTTCAGGTGCTATGCTCCCCTACCCCCGTCTAAATAAGGTTACTAGTCACAGCGATGCCATAAATGTTAAGTTCCAGCTTACTATGATTTACTGAGTCACTTGTTCTATATTTGATATGCAAGTTTTGGTTGCTAATTCATTGACACAGATTGGCTCTGTTCCACGGTTCTATTGCAATAGAATCCTGCTTCTACAAACACCTACATGCCTTCGAGCTCCTTTGTCTCTTTTTTTCTGATTACAATGATTAGCAAGCAAAATTCGAAGATCCATGTGCTCATGTATTTATGTGTACTCAGATATGTAGTCATGTAAGTACTAGGTATGCATGTATGTGTTATTATGATAATGATGATAAAGTATCATTAAACTGGAAATATGTCGTACCTTGTTTGTTAAGTTACTCTCTTGATATTTTCTCAGGCGTTGATTTAAACCCTTGGTCCATCCCAAAAAGCCGGATGTTTCTGGCAACGTGACGAATTTGCCAAGCCACGCAGATGCCAACCTGAGGTGACAATGGAGCTTGTTGAATTTCCAAAGCGTTTTGGATATAAGGTGCTGCTCGAAGAGCCAATATGCTATAGCGGTCGTGTGGCAAACGGCAGAGTAGAGTTCGCATCCTTTATACGGCTTATACAACTCATGAGTGGAAAGGAGTTAGTAGTTTCTTTTTTCCGTCTATTTTCCGTTTACGCGTTTATCCCTTGCGTTGAAGGCGGCATTCAATTGAGTTTTAAAAACTTGAGTGTTCTGTCATCATGTCTTATAATAAATGTTGGAATTGAACAGTAAAAGACGAAGGGACTTGAGATAGTAAAATAAGAAGCAAAACTATTCACGAGGTGATATTTAATAATATACATAATCGAAGTACATGTAGTTTAAGGAAAATAAACCTCACCTTTCCAAAGGATCACGGACGACGATGATCTTTTTGTAGGTTGCAAGGCGCAGACCTACTTCTTCCTTGCTGTAGTGATTGAAAGTTTTGAAACCTCGGCTGTGTATATAACCAGACCTACGTAACTTAGGATCCGTAAAGTTATCTATCTTTGGTCGCAGTTCAGCAGTACCATCAGTGTTTAAACGTAAGGTTTCATTGTGCTCTAGATTGTAGAATAGGAGTTTCATTGTTTTGCACCCGACTTTAGGGATATAGCAGTAGATTGTTTTGATATTATCATAAAAATATACATGACCTTCATGTTTGCTTTTTGAAAGCTCAACCTGAAAAGAAAAACACAAGAATGGAATTTAATACATTCAAGCACAATGGGATTTATATCATGTCAACTAGCCCTGCTAATTCAATATAAAAGTTATAAATACCTGACCTGGGACACGTTTAGGCAGTACATTGGCGGTGCGCATCTTCGTTTCTACAAATCTTGAGCAATATAATACATGGCCTCTAAAGCAGGGAAACAATCTATTGGGACTAGAGTCTGTTAACCCCTATAAAAGTCTGAGGGATGTGTCGAGTCGATGATTTGAGGCACAAATCCCTGTGCCTAAAACCATGCCGTTATTTTGACGATGACGTCATATTACATTGTAAAAATATCAAAATTGTTGTTATGATTCATTATTAGTAGTAATCTATCCTTTAAACAAGAATTCGGAGATTTCATACCTGCATGAAATATATGAGTTTTTGTAAATGTTTTTTTTTATTGTCTCTTTGACTATGAAAATTAAGATCGTAATTAGCATAATCTATTTTAATTATAAGTTTTCTGAATTCAAATGACAAAATGTATCGTGTGAAAATTCCTCTCCTTTGTCAAACTTCATTTCAGCATGTCCTCATTGTCAGAAGGACTATGAAATTGTCTCGCCGGAGTGTGGGGAACTGCGGATTTTGCGATATAACTCTGGAAGGCATGATTCGACGTCCATGATTTTTGGCAGGCAGATTACCGCTGTTGAGGCCGAAGTCAAGTACAAGTTTCGGCTTCGTGGGGGGTCTTTGCGTCACGTAGGTGTACCTTTTGTGTTTGTGGCTTGTTAGCAAGATAACTCAAGTATTTGTAAAATGTTGATTATAATTCTTGGTGTGGTGGTTACTATTGTCGGGACCAAGGTTAAGTTCGTTACTGAGCTTCGTGGGGGGTTTCGTTGTGACTACAGGGGGCATTTTGATAATTTTTCTTGTGAGCAGGATAACTTTTGTATGTGTAGATGGAAGTTAATGAAATTTGATAGGCATGTTACTGTGGTGGTCTCCAAGATTGAGTTCAAAGATGAGAGTCATGGAGGTCGTTATGTCCCCGTAATAGGACCTTTTGTGTTTAGAAATCCCCCACTTACATCTACTTGGAGACAGCCGACAGCTGGATATAGCAGGGGAACCCCATGATGGGATGGGATCAAATGACGTTATATTGAGGGATTGTACTATAAGTTCAGCAGGGGGAGGATAGGTTGGACATATGTCAGGTTATTTTCTACGGCCACACCAAGTAATTGCTATGGGTGACGTCCACTGGAGACCTTAAATTTAATGGTAAAGCGCAATAAAAATATGAAGGGCTGAAAAGGAGATGGAATTTGGAATATACTAACTGTAGAAATACACATGTTATGACACAAGTCACACAAGTTGAATAAAAGAACGCAGTGTAACAAGAAACAAGTCTTCTATTCGTTATTAAGATAAGTTAACAAAACAGCAGTAGTCGCCCTGTTCTGATTCTTTCCTTTATCACATCTTCTCTTATTATATTTTGCGACACTGTCGTGACACTTTCATCATAATACAGTAAGAAGAATTTCTTGCAAGTTTTTTTCCAGTAACAGTCCAAAATCAAATAACGTAGGGTGGGGGTCGAACACGGGTGACGGCGCGTCTGTAAAATCTGTGGCGAACCCTTTCAGGGTGTTCTGTAGCATAAAAAAGAGTACAGAGATCCTTTTGTACTTTAGACCAAATTGATTATTAAAAAGAGTAAAGAATACACATGTTCATTTCTCTAGAACAATGTACCTCTGACGAAGACATGAGATCTCCGACCTCTAGTTAATTGTGCAAATGACCCCCACATTAATATAATATATGCATAGTGGTGTTAACCTTCAAGTAATTTGCCCGTCACAAGGTATGAAATTCCCATCATTCACCAATAAGGAGTCACATGATTTCCACATTAATTATGCAAATTAGGTCACATTTGCATAATTGGTATCTGTTAATGTTCCGCCTGCCACAGGTTAAGGTCTCGGACCGGAGTTTGCTTCCTTGTTCGGAGCAATTTGACACCCTCAGCCCGACGGGCTGTCATTTCTGTACTAAACGCGGGTCGCATTTTTTTCACTCGTTTGGTGGAAAGGGGTGCCGTGCCGCTTATCAATACACTTGATTGGTATTTTGTGCGCCCAATTTATTAAGGGGTAAATAAGGCACATCAAAGTACATTATTAAGTAAGGGATCATTTTTTTCGTCATTTTTTACCATGGCTTCATGGAAAGAACGAATTTTTCCCAGGGTAACGGCTTTGTACTCGAGGAAGCTCAGAACCTAATGTTTCCAAACTTTGAATTTAATCAAAATCGATGCGATACGTTTACCGCTATCTTCGATGGCCCGAACACACCTACAACGTATATAGAACCACGGCGGTCTGTCACTATGGTATTCTTTCCCATTGCTAGGGGGGTTCGAAAACGTATCAGGTTACAAGGCGCAAGTTTGGCCTGTTTTGGACTACAAGTAAACCACTTGAAAATAAACAAATAGTATTGAAAGGTAAATTCCGTCAAAATAAAATGAAATTATCGTCTTCACATAGGTTTAATGTTAGTTATTTACGTTCAATTACTAATTTTTAAAAATCTCGCTCCGAAAGTGATTTTTTTCGGGATTTGGAGCGCCAGTCCGAGACAGTCCGAGTCATGTTTTTAGGCAAACATCGTTTAAGATTGGCTACGTATATTACCCAAAATGCCCGATTTTTATATTTTTCGACTACCAGGAATAAGATAAAAAATCGTGTCTTAGGAATTTTTTTAATTTCTGATTTTAAGTATAGTTTTTGTTGACATAAATGTGAAAAAACGGCATTTTTTGACATTTTTCGAACTAAATTGCTCATAATTCAAAATCAAGGTCCTATTTCGAAAATCCCTAAGACACGATTCTGGACAAACCCGTTACGGTCATTTTGAGCCGTCAATGAGATATATTGGACTCTCCATGCTTCCAATCTTAAACGAGTTATGCACGCATGTCATACGGCATGAATATGAGCAGTGTTTATTTAGGCTGGCGAGTACAAGCATTACGATCTTCAAGGTCACCCACGATAACGGCGGTAGCTTCGTGTCATGTTCCAGCCCACTACAAAATTTAGGCAGACATGTAGTTGTCCAGGAAATGGTTTATATTTGTTAAAAGGTGGATCTTTTTCTGTTAGGAGGTACACATGTAAAAAGGAGCCGGACGGAAGACCAAGGTTTACTGTAAATGACCGCGGGTGACCCCATTTCGAACACCGTTCTATTCGAATTACGTCAGATCGAACATGGTTCTGGTTCTACTGCAGGTGGGGAGATCGGGGCCCAATTTTGACCACCGTGAACGTACCATCCCGGCGTTCAGGCGAAATGGCCACATAACCATCCGCGCGGACTAATACCAGGAAGTCTTCGCTGCACCACCAACATTACGCCACCTTTAAAGGCTACAACTAACAGGCTTTTCAGAAAATACAAAGATATGTACACAGATATTACGATATCGGGGATATAGCGGCCAAAACATTCGATACAAAGTCATGTTTCCGGCGATTACGTTGTTGCTGCTAGGGGGACTAAACCAACACCACTCATTTCTGCCATGAAAAGCTATCTGTCACCAAAAAGTCAAGACCATAGCATGTTCAGGACAAACGATACAAAAATAGGAAATTCTGCTGACCAAGGTCATCCAACAGGAAGCCCATATTTGACCCTGACCTTTGTCTTTCCAAGACTTACCAACATACCAAATATCATCACAATCCATAAAGGCGTTCTGAAGTTATGCTGACCACAAAGTTGCGGAAACACACAGATATTCTACTACCTACTGCAGCTAGATGTCGCCTAGAATCCAATCCAGTTATGACCTTTAATAAGGGGAGTAGTTCTGTGCGGGAAATCGTGTTTCTGCTGTAGTGACACCTAGCTGCAAAGCAATGTATAAAAGCTTGGTGCTTCTAAACTTGGCACCTAAAACCGAAACGTTTGGATCTAAATGCTACGGTGGCCTGTAAGTACAGGCATGCGTGTCTGCGCGAATACCTTCCACGTCTGCGCGAGTACCTTCCACGTCTGCTCGAGTACCTTCCAGGTCTGCGCGAGTACCTTCCACGTCTGCGCGAGTACATTCCACGTCTGCGCGAGTACCTTCCACGTCTGCGCGAGTACCTTTCTCGTCTGCGCGAGTACCTTAACCCTATCTAGACCGGGCTTTTTTTAGCAAGATTTGACCGGGGGGGGGGCTCTTTCGGCCCCCCCTCAGAACTCGCTAACGGTATGTCGTATGGCTACCAAATTTTCAGAGGAAGGTGTACTAGTTAAAATTTATCATATCTACAATTTTGATGTCATTATGACGTAATATGACGTCATTATGATGTCATTAATGGGATTTTATTGGCCAAAACCGTCTAGATAGGCTATTCCCTGAAAACTAAATGGTATTCAACATAACTTTACCAAAAGTGTTTATGACAGAATATTAGAGTGTACTAAGTCTTATGTTGCCCATAGCAACACCAGTGACGTCATAAAATGACGTCATACATATTTAAGTTATCCGCCATCTTGGATCATCAATGTTGAATTTTCAAAAATAGTTTTTTTTTCGTGATAAAGCCTAAAATACATTGTAAACATACCAAAGACCTTCATTTAAACCTTTTTTGGAAAAAGAAATGATGAAATTTTAAGGAAAATAACTTGTATATACCTGTTCTAATGATATGGTCCGCCATCTTGGATTTTGTCCAATGACGTCATTAAATTAGCATAAATTATGCATATTTAATGATAAAATTTACATAAATTCATATTAGAAACCATGAGTAACTTGACATAAAACCCATAAAATTCTATTCTTGAAACAAAAATTACTAAATTTAGCAAAAAATGCCTGTCAGAAACCCGTTGCCATGGCAACACAAAAAATTATTATCTTATTCCAATGATAGAAAATTAGTTGTCCAACC